GTAACTTTTTAATCTATCCAAAACTAAAATACTTATTCGACAACTTATTTTCATTTGAAGGCATGTAGGTAAGGTTTTTCCTTTTCATCTTCTATTTTCTGGATTTGTTATATTTTTCAAAACTCTAATCTCATCCATTTTTCATACTATATAAATCCTAAGTCTACCCATAAAATTTTTCTTTGATTTTTTCAAGTTAAACATTATTATTAGTACAATTTCAGGTCAGCGATTCTTCCTGAAATTTTAATCCTTTACTATCCACAAATTTAAAAAATTTTGCCATTTTATTTATTTAATCTTCTATTTTTGTTAAAAACGTATGTTTTTGTGTTCTTCATACCAGACACATGTCAAAATAGTTATATTTTTTTTCTTTTTTTTATCTGAAAATATAAAAAATAATAAGAGATTAGAACAATATTAGAATTTTAGGGTAGTTTCTTTATTCCCATGTAGTGTTGTATAGATATTTTTTTTTTGAATTATCTATTTGTGGAGAGATATGAAAGTTTTATTTATTTTATCAGATATTATGATTTGAATGATACAAAAAAAAATGAGTTTTGTGACAATAAGAGAATTTTTTAAAAGATTTGAGTAGATATTTGAGTTTGCCCAATAGAGTACTCTAAATCAAATCAAACTTTTTACTCAAATTTGAGTCATGGTTGAAGATGTTCTACGAATTTTATCAATTTTTAATGATGGACAAATATGTCCTCACCACCATTATGTCATCGCCACTACCACCAACACTATCACCACCACCATTGTACCATCGCCACCATCACCACCACTGCTGCCGCCACCACCTCCACCACCATTGCTACCACCACTTCCACTACCGTCATCTCCATTGTGTCATCGTCGCCACCACTACTATTATGTCACCTCCAAAACCACTATTGTGCCATCGCTACCACCCCACCACTATCGCCGCCACCACCACTATTGCTGCCACTACCATTGCTACCACCACCATCACCATCGCTGCTGTTACCACTATCATTGTGCCACCACCACGACCATTACCATTGTCGCCACCACTACCATTATGTCACTGCCACCACAACTATTGTGTCATTGCTACCACCACTGTGCCACCACTACCATCACCACCACCACCACCGTAGTATTACGGTCACCACCAATATCGCTATTGCCACCACTACCATTGTGCAGATGTTGCCACCACCACCACCATTGTTGTGTTGCCGCCACCACTACCACTACCATTGTGATAGTGGTGATAGAAATAGGGCAGTTACAGAGAGATTGCTAAAGAATAATAATATTCAAACTTTAGCTTTTTATATTTGTCAAACAATTTGATTAAATTCAACACTTAAATTTCAGTTGATATCAAAAAGTCTACGAATTAAAAAATTCAGTATTTAAAATTCAGCATTCAATTTTCAGTGTTCAACTTTCAGTTTTATTAAATACTACCTTACTCATTCTATGTGCACATCTTTAATGAAAGAAGTCATCGTAAGAAAAAAATAATGAAAGAAGACAATTAGTTTGAATGTATAAATATATTTACGAAACAAGAAAAAAAACCAAAAATGAAATAAGTAAAAAAAAAATAAGCATGCTGAACAAGAAAAAAAAGAAAGAAGCAGACCGAAACAAGAATAAAAAAAAGAATGAAACAAGAAAAAAACATAAAAAAAAGAAGCAAATTGAAACAAAAAAGAAAAAAAAAAAGCAAAGATTAAAGGAACAAACAAAACTACAAGACGTAAAACCACAAGATGGTTGCGTAGCCCACGACGCGAGGAACAACTTTCTTGTATTTCTTGGTTACTCCCGCACATAGAAAGGGTATCGTTGCTACAGTTCTTCTCTGCAACGATACTTTACTAGTGCCGATGTTAACTTTGAGGAATCTGTTCTATATTTTCAGCACCTTTTCAGCCTGTGGAGATGATATGTAATAGTGAGTTCCTATAGAAAGATCCTGATGAGGTCATAGAATACCTCAATGAGCTTGCTGAAAAAGCTCACACTTGGACTGGACCTAGTGCTACTGAAAGCACAAATAGGTCACGACCTATGTTTTCTTTTAATACATTTTACTTTCCAAACAAAAAAACAGAATACATTGCGAGAATAAGAAGGGGTCATCATGTGGCGCGTTGTGTGCCAAGTATTTTAAGACAATATACAAGTTAAAAGTTTTGTAAATCCTCCTGTTATAGTTGCTACGTGGGAGCTAAATGTGCATTTAGTTCTCCACTCAGCATGGATTTGGCGTTTGTTATTTGATTTACGTAAAATTGAGCTTGGAAAAAAAAAACATCAGGCACATACACAAAATCGAACAAGAAAAAAAAGCAGTATAGATGTAAAACCAAAACAAGATAAAAAAGAACAAATAATCTGAAAGCATACATACATATATATATACACATATAAATTCTAAATGAAAATAATGAAAATTCATATAACAAACATGAAATCAAATATAGAATTAAATTGAGAAGTAATACTAAAATTCATATTACAAAAATATTTTTGTGAGTGCATGAGATGAAATAGAGAATGAAACTCTTACAATGACAAAATATAAAGTGGGTTTACTTATTAAAAAAAGTGTATGTAGCATTAGCTGAGCTTAGTTACTAATGAAGTGAATATAAAATGAGTGAGTTTAATAGTTTGATAATAAGAAATTAAATAAGGTAGGACTGGATATTTGTGGGGTTATCACTTTTGTGAGTAATTTATTATTTTATGGGTATTTTTAGCACTGTTATAAGTATTTTTTTCATAACTATTTTTATTATTTTTCTTTAGTATAAAAAAAGTGATTTATCATATTTGTTGGTATTTTTATAACTATTGTGTGTATTTTTATCACTGTTGTGATAACTATTTTTATTATTTTTTTCGGTATGACAACAATGATAACAATATTTACAAATATGATAAATAGATGTATGATACTATTTTTTATAGTTAATTAAGCTGTGGTTCCTCTTTTGGTGTGTAAACTAATTTTAGTCCTGTTGAATTTTTAGTATTAAAAAAGGTACTTCGATTTTTGAAAAAATTTGCATGTTGTCCCAATGTTGGTGGAGTAAATATTGAATGCAACGGTAATACTATATTTCTATTGCTACCTTACTCATTCTATGTGCACATCTTTAATGAAAGAAGTCATCGTAAGAAAAAAATAATGAAAGAAGACAATTAGTTTAAATGTATAAATATATTTACGAAACAAGAAAAAAAAAACCAAAAATGAAATAAGAAAAAAAAATAAGCATGCTGAACAAGAAAAAAAAGAAAAACAAAAAGAATGAAGCAGACCGAAACAAGAATAAAAAAAAGAATGAAACAAGAAAAAAACATAAAAAAAAAAGAAGCAAACTGAAACAAAAAAGGAAAGAAAAAAAGCAAAGATTAAAGGAACAAACAAAACTATAAGACGTAAAACCACAAGATGTAAAACAGAGCTTGGAAAAAAAAACATCAAGCACATACACAAAATCGAACAAGAAAAAAAAAAGCAGTATAGATGTAAAACCAAAACAAGATAAAAAAGAACAAATAATCTGAAAGCATACATACATATATATATATATACACGTATAAATTCTAAATGAAAATAATGAAAATTCATATAATAAACATGAAATCAAATATAAAATTAAATTGAGATGTAATACTAACTTGTATCTTAGTGAAAGAATTCATATTAAAAAAAATATTTTTGTGAGTGTATAAGATGAAATAGAGAATGAAACTCTAACAATGACAAAATATAAAGTAGGTTTACTCATTAAAAAGAGTGTATGTAGCATTAGCTGAGCTTAGTTACTAATGAAGTGAGTATAGAAGAGGTGAGTTTAATAGTTTAATAATAAGAAATTAAATAAAGTAGGACTGGATATTTGTGGGGTTATCACTTTTGTGAGTAATTTATTATTTTATGGGTATTTTTAGCACTGTTATGAGTATTTTTTTCATAACTATTTTTATTATTTTTCTTTAGTATAAAAAAAAGTGATTTATCATATTTGTTGATATTTTTATAACTATTGTGTGTATTTTTATCACTGTTGTGATAACTATTTTTATTATTTTTTTCGGTATGACAACAATGATAAAAATATTTACAAATGTGATAAATAGATGTATGGTACTATTTTTTATAGTTAATTAAGCTAGGTTCCTCTTTTGGTGTGTAAATTAATTTTAGTCCCGTTGAATTTGTAGTATTAAAAAGGTACTTCGATTTTTGAAAAAATTTGCATGGTGTCCTTGTGTTGGTGGAATAAATATTGAATGCAACGGTAATACTATATTTCTATTGATGACATAGTATCATCAATCAATAATAAAACTCTAAGTGGGTATGATGAATCTCATTTGGACTTATATAAAGGAAGAGTGGAGAATTATTTATTTATATGACAAATTAGTTATTAATTTTTATAGGATCTATTTATTTATTTGTTTTAATATTATTAGTGACGTGATATCGTCGTTGTAATAAATGTTTTCTCATTTGATGGCATGAGAAATTAATTTTTATTACCTATTTTACACTCACTTTTGGCGTAAATTATTGTCAAGTCTAATGCATCCCAGTGAGTTTTCGTCATAGTGAAGTCTTAAATGAAAGGAAACGAGAAGTACGATAAAGCAAAAAAATATAATTATAATCGAAGGAAGACTACAACAAAGTAATTATCTAACTTACAGTTTCCAAGAATGACGAATTGTTGGCGTACTAACTGATACTGAAATGAAATAAACGAGTGCTCAGCCAATACAAATCTGATTACCTCTTTGGCTCTCCTTCTAACAGAGGCATGCCTTCGTCTTTCTTCAAAGATGTCAGAAATAACAAATGTGAGGGGATGTTTCTTCTTCTCTGTGCAGTCATCTTCCCCACAAAGCGGTTTGGTTTTCTGTCTCTTCAGATGCTTTGACTTCTGATTTTCATGCTGGATCATCTTCATCTATATTTGGATCTCTCTTTAATGGAAGCCTTTCGCTGGATATTCATCTTCTGCAATGATCTTACGAGGAGATTCTTTCATCAGAAGCTCAACAGTTCTGCTGGCTATATCTTCGTTTTTTCTACCCCAGAGAACACAAATTGAAGTTCTTTGTTCTCTTTGGTTTCTGCTGGATGTGAAATCAAAGGATATTACTCATCTTTCTCATCTATCTCAAGATCTTCCGTCTCTTTTCAGATTTCTCTTGGGAGCTTTTTTGGATTTCTTAGAGATAGTGTTTCGTCAGAGTCTATCCATTTGCCTAACAATGGGACTATCAATATGTCTCCTGAGTTCTCATATCAGGAGTCTTCCCTTATCAGACTCCTTCCCTTCACAGATCAGATATGGCTTATCATCTTCCTTATCAGGACATTAACTCGCCTAGATTGCTCACAGCTCAATGGCGGCTTCAGCTCAATCGCAGCTTCTCTTTCAGCTTGCTCACCAGCTCATGCCAGCTGGGAATTTGGACTGCTCAGCTCTTCTCAATGGGACAGTTCAGCTCTTCCCTCAGCTCAATGGCAGATTGCTCACAGCTCTCCGCTTACCTCATTTTAGTTGCCTGTTTGCAGCTTATAAATGAGTTTAAGATTTTTCAGCAACCCTTAATATTTTTATAGGTAGTATGCTTAGTGTTTTATTTATTTTCTTATCTATTGTACTAAGCATGCATACTGCATTTTTTATTCGTATTATATGTAATTAGATTGCATCGAAGGGTAAGATACATACATCCCCTGAGTAGGTGTAATTAATTTTAATCAATAAATTTCCCTCGCACCATCAAGATTTTCCCAAAAAAAAAATACAAAGCACTGATTGAATATTTATGCACATTGAGAATGCAAGATGCCGAGGATGGCCCCTTTTTTTTCTTTTAACGTTTGTTGTTGATGTTTTTGTAGTGTATTTTATTAGTTTTGAAATTCAAACTCGTGAATCAAGCAATTTGGACATTATGATGATATGTGTTTTAGTGTACCTGTCTGACGATTTGTGTTTATGGAAAAGAATGTACATTAACGATATATGTTTTAGTGTATTTGTTTGACGATCTGTGTTTATGTTGAAGAAGGTACATTAACAATTTATGTTTTAGTGTAGCTGTCTGACGATCTGTGTGTTTATAGAGAAGAAGGTACATTAACAAACTATATTTTAGTGTATCTTTCAAACGATTTGTGTGTTTATGAAGAAAAAGGTACATTAACGATCTTTGTTTTAGTGTACTTGTTTGACGATCTGTGTTTGAGTGTAATTATAGGATGATCTATATTTATGGAGAAGAATGTACATTAACAATCTATTTTTTAGCGTACCTATCTGATGATCTGTGTTTTAGTGTAATTGTTTGACAATCTGTGTTTTACTGAACATATTTGATGATTATTGTGTACCTGTTATTTTTTTATTGCGTACCTATTATTTTTTGGATCGAAGGTATACATATAGGTAAAATTTGGGAAACAATTAAAATATATTGGTCCATTATGAAGACTTGCTTCCATTATACCTAAGATGCTGGTTTCATAGTCTATGAATCTAGCATCTCTTAAGCATAAAAGGACTGATGAGTTGACTCCTTCTTGTCCTAGTGGCTTGATTGCTACTTGAATTAGACCAAGATGAATAAATTTATATCATTTTGATATTTATTTTTTCATGGCTTCTTTACTAAGTAATTGACAAATTTCTTCATCTTTTGTGAGAACATAAACTTGTTCAATTGTTTTTACTTGTAATTCTAACTTGAAAATTGTTGGAATCGAGCTTGTTTGATAGATTTCTCTTGTTGGGACCCTGGAAATATTTCATTCCTTCTAGTCTGTGTGTGACTCATGATACTCATGTTCTTCTTCATTTACTATAGATGATATAGAAGTTAATGAAGATCTAGATGAGCTAGCCATAGAATTAGATCTGAATAATCTACTCATTTTAAATCTAAAATTTTTCAACTTTGTAAATTACTTTTAAGTTTTTGATTCATTGCACATACCTCTCTTATGCACATACCCTCTATCTTTGTTGTCTTCTTCCCCTATTCTGTCTTTCACCAGGACTTACACCGGGATCTAGACTCTCTAGGTTTGGGTGTCAAAGCTAAGGTGACAAAGAAGATAAGACTTATAAGAGATTTACTACTTGAAGCATCCAGGATTTATCAAAAAGTAAGATGAAACAAATATAAATCAATGGTTGAGTATCTTCCTTTTTTTATTTATGTTTTGTTACTACTTTGACTAATTAGTAATGGTTCTCTAAGTAATCAAAGAAATAGATTTCACATCTTATTTCATTCATAAACCTGGTCCATTTTTCAAATATTCCTCATTGTTTGCTATCATTATATTTGCTGTTAAATTCTCATCTTTTAGGTTTATTTTTCTTAGATTTGAATTCATCATATAATCTATGTACATCAATTATAAACAAATCATTTGATTTACTAATTATAAGTAACTATTTATTTATTGGAGGGTTACTCTCCAGGTCCGTAGTAGTAGGAGATGGTGTAAAATCATCATCTTCTTCTTCATTAAACCGTGATTGTAGAGTGTAACATGGTTTACTAATTTGTGAAGAGGAAGTATTAATTCCTTTTAGCTTAAATATTTTTTCCAATTCATTGGCTAAATCCTTATCTCTTCTAGTTAGACTAGAATGTACCAACTCAGATTTTCTTCCTTCATTAATTTGAAGTGATTTGCTACTAGATCTGTTAGATCTTGCACTATTGAATGAGATTCTTACTGATCCATCAGGAAACTGTTGGATACCTTCTAAATTTGCTGAAGTATTTTGACTTTTTTGATTAAAACTTTCATTTTCAAGCATCCATCATTCTAAAAGCTTGACATCTTCCCAAAAAATTCTCTTTGGAACTTGTATATTTGCTTTAGTAGTACTTCCTTGTATTAACAAGGTCCTATCTTTAGGACTTTTCTTTAATGCATGAACATTTAGGTTTGTTGTTATGCATTTGTAATAAATCCTATAGATAAGTACTATTGATCTAGCTCTTTCTGTCATATTAACAAATTGACCTGCAATTTTTTATACTTAAGGTTAATGCGGTTAACAGAGTAGGATCATCAAGGCTTAGGGTAAAATTTGGAAACAGTTAAAATATATTGGTCCATTATGAAGACCGGCTTCCATTATACCTAAGATGTTGGTTTTGTAGTCTATGAATCTAGCATCTCTTAAGCATAATAGGACTAATGAGTTGATTCCTTCTTGTCCTAGTGGCTTGATTGCTACTTGAATTAGACCAAGATGGATAAATTTATATCCTTATGATCTATGTTTTTTCATGGCTTCTTTACTAAGCAATTGACAAATTTCTTCCTCTTTTGTGAGAGCATAAACTTGTTCAATTATTTTTTACTTGTAATTCTGACTTGAAAGCTGTTGGAATCCAGCTTGTTTTATAGATTCTCTTCTTGGGACTCTGGGAATATTCCATTCCTTCCAATTTGTGCGTGAGTCATGATACTCATGTTCTTCTTCATTTACTATAGATAGTATAGAAGTTAATGAAGATCTAGATGAGCTAACCATAAAATTAAATCTGAATAATCTACTCATTTTTAAATCTAAAATTTTTTAACTTTGTAAATTACTTGTAAGTTTTTGCTTCATTGCACATACCTCTCTTATGCACATACCCTTTAGATTTGTTATCTTCTTCCCCTATTCTGCCTCTCATTAGGACTTATGCTGGGATCTAGACTTTCTAGGCTTAGGTGGCAAAGCTAAGGTGACAAAAAAGATAAGACTTATAAGAGATTTACTAATTGAAGCATCCAGGATTTATCAACAAGAAAGATGAAACAAATATAATTCAATGATTAACTATCTAGGTCGTCAAATCTGAGTCAGTACATTCTAGTCTAACTAGAAGAGATAAGGATTTAGCCAATGAACCTGAAAAAAGAGTAATTAAGCAAAAACAACTTTACCAATCAGTGTCTAACAACAATTGGTAAACAATTAGATAAAATTGAAACTAAGATTGATGAGATTAAACCATCAATAAGTAAAAAATTAGAGAAACCTCTGATTCAATTAACAGAAGATAGAAGTAAACTTGGAATTTCAGTAAAAGATAGTAAAAGACTTCAAAAAATTGAAGAAGTTATTCAAAAAATGGAAGCTAAACCACAAGTTAACACTATCAATCAAAATAATGAACAAACTTCTGAAGACAACCAATCTCCCGAAACAAGTGTATCAGAATGTTCTACTAATTCTAAAATTAACGAATAAGAACAACAATTTGAAAGCCAAAATCTTAACAAATTAACATTTTCAAAAGTCAATCCAAATAGCACCACAAAAAATTGGTATTTTAGGCCATCACCTCTTGATCTTCAGTTTGAAGAAAGGAACATTAGTAACCAATTCTCAGTTCAATCCAATAAACTCTATGAATGGAACATAGATGGATTAAGTGAACAAGAAATAGTTAACAAAGTTAATCATATGTCTATGATTATTAACAGTTATATTAACAATCTTGATCATATTGAACCAGAAATAGTTGATCTAATTACTTCTGGATTCACATGAATGTTAAAAAAATGGTGGGATAACTATCTTAGTCAAGAACAACAAAGCAATATCAAGTATGTTATTGAAGTAGATAATGAAAATAATCCAATTTTTGATGAAATAATTGGAAGAACAAAACCAGATGGGATTAACACTTTCATCTACACAATAATTAAACATATTGTTGGAACACCTAGTAACATAGCATCAAGAATTCATGATCAGCTCAGTAACTTAAGATCTCCAACATTAAGTGATTTCAGATGGTACAATAATATATTCATCTTAAGAGTAATGCTCAGACAAGACTGTGACAAGTCTTTCTGAAAAGAAATTTTATCAATGTCTTACCTAATCTCTTTGCCCATAAGATTAGAGAAGCATTAAGCAAACCTAAATGAATCATTGAATATGATCAGTTAACCTATGGAGATATTATTAGTGCCATTCAGAAAGAAGGTCTAAGAATGCGTATTGATACGAAATTAGCAAGCAAATGATAGATGATAGGAAAAAAGTTAAGTATGAAATGAGTGATTTTTGTGAACAATATGGTCTCCCTTCAATAGCACCATCTCGCAGAAAACACAAGTCACAAACTTTATAGCAGAAGTAAGTATTACTACAAAAGAAGCAAAAAGAATTTTCCAAAATAGAATATTATGGAAAAACAAGCAAAAACATAGGAAATCTTATAAGCATAAAACTTATAAGAAAAAGTCAGGGAAAAAGACTAGCAAAGAATTGAATGTTATAATTGTGGAAAAAAAGGACATATCAATCTAGAATGTCCACTTAAAAAGAAGTTAAAACAATTAAACTTAACTAAAGAAGACGACGTTAAGATCTTAACAATCTCTAAGTTAAGTAATCTTAGTTAAAATGAAGAATGTTCAGATAATTCAAGCAATCCTGAAAGTTCTTCAGATTATCAATCAATTTCTAGTAACTCCAATGAACCTGACATTAAGCTAGGTTATAAAGATAATTGTTGTAAAACA